GAGATGCTTTACCTGGCGTTCCTCTTCAACAGCTGCAGCTTGGCTGTTGTGGATAGGAGAGGCTGATTTGCAAAGACATCCGAGATCCCCTGTGTCAAGGGAAATGTGAGGGCAAACAGGAGCAGCACCGAGCTCTGCCTCTGGATAGCAGGAATGTTCTGCATGGATGGAGGAAGAAAGTGGCTTGGCAGCAGTGGAGCAGACAGATATCTTGGTGAATCACAGGTCCAACATGAGTCACAGCTGTCACATGGCTGTGAAAAAGGCACACGTCACAGGGGCCATGGAAGGAGCTGTGTGCTTCCCAAGGCATCTGAAGCATCCCCTGCTCCCAGTGCTGGTGAATCCATCACTCATGCTATTCCCATTTTGGATGCTGCATTTTGAGGAATATCTGGGCCAATAGCTGAGTCCATGGAGAGTGGTGAAAGTGGTCAGAGGGCTGGAAACCATGAGGAATGAGAAACGTTTGAAAGGACCTGGGATTGTTCAGTCTAGGAAAGAGCAAACTAGAGTTGGGGGGGCAATATGAAAAGCTTTGAAAGACATAAAAGGCTGCTGCAAGAAGTGAGGGAGTGATCTGTTCTCAGTAGCTACCAGGAAGAAGGTATCGAGTCATAGGCTGAGCAAGGAAATTTAGTCATTGGGGAAGTTACATAAGTGAAAGGCTGATGAAGAACTGAAACCTCAGTGCGTGTGGGATTGGTGTCAGGAGACCTTCAGAGCACCCATCTCTGGGTGGGTGGGAGAGGAACTCATCGTGCTTTGGCTGGTGGGATGCACTATGAGACTTTTGTAGCCATGTTCCCAATTTCTGGAAGATTATTTTCCAAAGCTTGTGATGAAGTCCACCTCCATTAAACAGGCATACATTTCCCAGACACTGCTGAGCACCTTACAAGACATCAGGGATTCCATGTGGCAGTGGCACTTTATCACTGCTACAGCAGCAATTTTCCAAGCCCCTGCTCAGCTGTAGGCTTGCACCAAGATGGGGGAAAGTGTTACTGTTAAGGACAGGGACACAGAGCATGTTCTCCTGTAGTGGGACAGCAAGGGAGCCCATGCTTGCTGCTTGTCCCTGTGTCTGACCATGCCACATGAGGCACAGTCCTTGTCCTGACAGCCTTAGATGATGCAGGGGAATCCCCCCACCAAGGCAGAGCTCCCCAGCACTTTTTTTTTTTTTTTTTTCTGATTCAGGGGCAGACTTTGGCCGTGCTTTTTAATTGGGAAAATTCAGAGCATGTCTTTGTGTCCTAAATAGGCGATTGTCCTGATCCTCATCCCTGGGATCCATTATGTCTTAGCAAATTACTTTTTCTCTTTTAAATGCCTTAGTGATTAAAGATGCCACAGCAGATACCCTTAATGAGTACAAAAAGGGTAATAATTCCTCTTGTTGGCACTGAATGCAATTAATCAGGCCCCTTTACTTGCTTTTTAAACAGATGAGGCATTTAAGGCCAAGCAAGTTTTTAATTGGACTTTAATGTTTCTCATTTACTTCATTTTGGCACAAGCGTAGGAATTCCCACCCCCAGGTTTGCTGGATTTATTCAGGGTGATAAAAGGCTCAGCATGGAATGAAGACTCAGCAGCAGACTCAAACATGTCCTTCAGCCTGTGCCTGGCCCCAGTGCCTGGCCTGGGCTTGGTCCTGCTGCAGCAGCACAGAATTGTCTGGACAGGAGCAGAACCAGGCTGTCCAGCCCAGAGACAGTTTCCAGCATGGGACTGACATTGGATATTGATAATATTTCTGGAGTAGCCATCAACACAAGGGTGCAACATAGCCTGCCCTTTTTGTCATGTTCCCTTGCCTTGAAGGAACTGTTGACTTGTGAGTATTGTTGTGATTATCTGGATGCCCTTGATGGAGGTCCATGTCATAGCCCAGACTCTGTAGCTTCAAGGAAGGGGTGAATTATATGTTTTAAGCAATATTCCTGAGATCCATGGCCAAGAGGACATACAGAGGCCTTGAGCACCACTACAGATGGATGTGTGCATCCAGATGTTATTCATTTGTGCCAGGAATTGCCATGGAAGAAAAGATACATCAGAAGCAGCTCTCATCCCATCTGCAGCTCCTGCTCCCTGAAGCCAGCACCACGTCTGCTTCCACCTCCGGCCATGAACCATCTTGCCTTTGGTTCCTTTCCCTCCCATCTATCCTCCACTGTGGTTTGGGGACAGCAGTGGCCTGTCAGCAGGTCCCAGTCTGTGTTTCATGCAGAGACATGTTCAGCACCCCAGCTTGGCCGACTGGCCCCCGTCCCAACTCAGCTCTTTCCTGCCAGCAGCCAACCAGGGTCAGCCAAAAAGGATCAGCCTCAGCATGGGTGAGCTTGCCTCTGAGCCTGCTTGTCACTCTGCAGGGCAGAGATTCTCTAACACCCAGGAAAGATCCCAGAAGTTTCAGCTGGGTTTTTCCAGGTGTGTGCTGTGTTCTTTGCAGTCATACCTGTCTGTATTTCAAGTGACAGTGACTGTGGACTTCCTCCCGTGGAAAGGTCAGTGGATGCAGATGAATTGTGGGTGTTCTTGGACAGGTGAGATGGCTCTTGGGTCATTGGGGTTTTTTGGCCCAAAAAAACAGTCAGGAGAAATCTAGGGACAAGGGACAACACCCTCCATTTCTACATCCCTGCTTTTCCCACTTCAAAGGTAGGAAAATCTTAAGCCCAAGTGTGTCTGGAAAGTTAAGTGTATTCAGGGAAATGTGTTATTGAATATCTTGTGTTAATTTAAACACCTTCTGCCTGCCAGGCTTGGGGCAGAGGAGCTTTGCCAGCTGGATCAGCCATAGCACTTCCCTAGGTCTGTTTGAGGGCATCTTTAGGGCCTCCCAGTGCAGCATAAGGAGCTGCTGTGCACAACCACTGGGCTCTGCTTTCCAGGCAGCTGCGCAGCACGGAATGCCGTGGGGGAGGCTTGCCCAATATTTTATTTGGTTCATCCTTCTTCTTTGTCATATCTCCTTTCCTGTGACTCCCTCACATCTTGAACACACATCTGATACTGGGTTTGGTGGTTGAGCAAGGCTTGTGTAGTCCTCAACAGACAGATGTGGGAACCAAGACTCTCCAATCTTTTCTTCTGCTGAGAACATCTTTGCCCATTTTGCTCCCTTACACCACTTCCCTGCTACCTGCAGATAAGGATACCTGGAGCCATCATGCCTTGAACAGTAAGGGAGAATTGGAGGCTGAGCAAGGATCAAGGTTTTATTGTGTGGTCATGGTGTGAAGGGCTGCAGACATCTTGGTGAGATGTTCAGGGATAAAGGTGAATCAAAGAGCATCCAGCTTGGTCTGTGTCCCCACAGAGTGAGCAACTGCTGGCTGTTGGGCTGTGGAAATAAGGAAATAAGGAGGAAATAAGAGGGCCAGATCTTAGGACATTTCTGCTCATCTTGCTGGTATTGAGGAGGGGCAGGCAGCCTTGTCCAGTTGCTATGGAGCCTGCCAAGATGTCCTTAATCCCAAATATATCTATGTCAGGAAGCTGCAACCCCAAGTGACTCTAGCCAGCCATTCTTTCATTGAGTCTTCTGGCTGAGGCTCACAGAGTTGTCATTTTCTTTGATTTAATTCCATATAAACTGCAGAATTATTTTCCTTTAGAGGCTTGCAAATTACAGAAGCATAAACCATGCTAATGATTCGATAAGCACAACTTTGGATACATTCCCAAGAACCCCTGGGCAGGAGTGTGCTCAGAGAGCACTGGTGGAGAGCAATTTGCCATGCTCACCTGGCTGCTTTCCTTGGGCCCCCCTTCCCAAATTCCTTCATCTCTCAGGAATGAGAGTAATTTCCTCTCTGGCTTCTTGCAGAGGCAAAGGCCCTGCAGACCTGAAGTTATCTCTGGAATGTGTGTAAACACGAGTTCAATGGGATGCTGTTTGCCCCCCATTCCTGTGGGGGGGTTGAGAAGGGTTAATACAAGTTTGTTTTACGGGTTCCTATCCCTGAGAATTGTCTTCCTCAGAGGGCAGCTCGGCTGACCTGAGCCCCTGTGTGTGCATTTCCCAGCATAAAGGGGAGATTCGGGGGCCCCACCACGCGGGTGGGATTTCACTCCTCTAAGAACAAGGGATGAAAGAGCAAAGTGGTCTTCCTGCCAAAGAGGGACCCAGGAGATGGTATGGGATCACAGTGCACGTGCACTGCGACTCAGTGTGCAGCTAACAGGATTATTTAGGTGATGCTTGGACAGAAACAAATCAGGAGAAGCGTGGGGGTTACAGGCAGTTCTGTGCTCCCATCTTCAAAGAGCATTGAAATGTAAGCAGGGGGACAAAATGTTTTAAGTGACGTATGGGCTGGGGCAAAATGCATTTCAATAACAGGCATAAGTAACTCTATCTGTTTGCATAAAAATAATTCACATGTAAGTTCATTAGTGGTGTACAAGTACGTCACTAATGAGACTTGCCTGGAGACCAAAGTGTTCTTGGATTTAGAATAAGAAGCAGGAACCAGAACCTAAAACTAGAGAAAATCAAGCATTAGTACCAAGTAAATGGTTAATTCCTAGATGTGTTGTCAGCACCAGTGACGCACTGAGGCTGGATGCCTTCCAGAAAACAACACTTTAACTGAAGACAAAGAAGCAGACTTAGCACAGAGGTGATCAGTGGAATGGCTTGGCCTGGTGTATACAAGGGGTCAAACTGGATGATTTAATGATCTCTTTTGGCCTGAAAGCTCTCTGTTCTCTTAAGAAGATAAATGAAAAAGCCCTTTCACAAAACCCAAGCACTTGAGCTATGTGTGTAATGAACTCTGCTGCTTCCAGGGGAACGGCAGAGCAGGATCTGCAGGAAGTGTGACCTTGCCGCCTGCAGGCTGCCTGGCGTTGGTGGCCATCTGTTTGGTGGCAGTGGCTCACCACCATCGAGGCCACCACTCTCACGTGTGACGTTTCTCAGCTCTGTTTTTAATTGGCATTTCCCTGCATTTAACCAACGTTTGCTCCTTAATCTCCCTCAGGGTGAAGAGGCCAAGCGGTATGAGTAGCCTCCTGGGGAAGATCGGTGCCAAAAAGCAGAAGATGAGCACGCTGGAGAAATCTAAACTGGACTGGGAGAACTTCAAGGAGGAGGAGGGAATTGTGGAGGAGCTGGCAATCCATAACCGAGGGAAAGATGGGTAAGAGGGACTTCACCTAATAGTAGGCCAGAATTTCCCATCACTTCCTTTGCGTGTGGGAAGCCCATTGCTGGCTGCAGAGTTCAAAAACCCATGGGATTTCTTAAGGATTTTTTCTAAGGATACATAAAGCCAGTAGCTGCTGTAAGCATCGCAGGGAGACAGGTAAGTCTGCAAACACCTATCACTCTCTCTAACAACCTTGTGAGTTCTCTAAGTCCAGCCAGTGTCTGGCTTTGTCATCTCTTCTGCTTGTGGCACAGAGCATGAACTGGCCTAACGCAGCCCCTCCATGAGGAAACACAATTGCCTCTGACCTGTTTTCTTTTTTCAGTTTGGGAGGGTTTTGTTCTGTTCTGCAAATGACACATTTCAGCTGCATCTCTCCTCCTTCTTCCCACATAAAGATTTGTGTAAAGCCAGAACAGCTGGCAAGGTGCGTCAAAGATTATGGCAGCACTGGGCGTTGGTTGTGTGCATCAAGCAACGTTCACTCCAATGAAGTTAATGGAAGTATCATAAAAGTAAATGGCAATGCTGTAAATAAAACAGAAAGTTAATAACATGCACTGCAGGGAGTGATAATGAGATCAGAAGCATTATTTCCACTACAAGTGCTTTGCTAAGCTCTGGGAAAACATAACCAGCTTAGTGGACAGCTCGTAAAATGTACATTTTATTATAAGCTGTTCTTTTACTGGACGAACTCAAAGCTTCTGCATTCCAATAGATTGGTTTTTCTATTTTAAACAGATATTTTGTAACTGTCAAACTATCAAATAGATATTTTTTATTTGGTCTTGCATCCTTCCACAAACACACCTTTTCCATCAAATCTCCCCTGATCTCTTTCTGGTCATGAAACAAATGCACGCCCTTGTAAAAGTAGAGCAATTCAGTAGGAGAGCTGGAGAGGAGCAGCTGATCCTCTGAGATCCCTGAAGTCCAAGGAGGGGCATGATTTACACCACATACAGGTGTGGCAGAGCAGTGTTTTGTGACATCTCTTGTGTGCCCAAACCCAGTATGTCAACTGTTCTTGGCCAGTGCAGTTTCCTTTCCCACCCCATCCAAGCAGGACAGCTTGCTCTTCATGCCTGGCAAACCTTTCCAGTGATGCTCACGTGATGGTCCTTGAAGCTAAAGAAGGGATCAGCACATGGAAAAGATGAGCAAAGCAGAGCAGCAATTTTAAGAGCATCTTTAATCTTGGACGGCTTTGGGTTTTGCTGCCTGTCACATCCCAGGCTAGAAAATCTGCTGAGCTCTTGGCAAGCGATTTTTGTCATTAAATAAATGAAGAACATGATGCCAGGATAACTTCAGACACTCCTTATTAATATGTTTATACTCATCAGGCATGCAGTGTGAGGGGATCAACCGAGTATCTGCTCATTAGGAATGACTTCCACCTTCAAGGTAAAGGGAGAAGGGAGGAGCACCGAGGAGGCACAGCCCTCTGCATTTCTGCTTACAGACCACCTCGGTGTGAAGGGTGCAGGACCCTCCCAGAGCAGCCATCTCCCCTGGGGGCCAGGTCACACAGACACAGCTGCTGCCGGCCTCAGGTCACTTCACAGGAGCCTGTTGTCCCTTCTGCAGCTGCCTCTTCTCCTTTAATAATGTCAACCGTGCTCACCCTTCAGTGGGCAATCATTTACACATCTCTATAAAAATTGTAATGAGCTGTTGTTAACCCTTCAACCCAGGCAGGCGAGAGCGGGGCGCTGCCTTTAATCCCTGGTGCTGTTAGAAACCTCTGCTCCCCACGTGTCCTGCTGTGTGATTGTAATGTCTGCCTGACTAGGAAAGCTGCAGCCCACTCCTGGAGATGTTTGCTCGATGCCACACATCCCGTGCACTTACAGAGATGGTCTCAAGGAAGGCAGGAAGCTTTACTTTTTGCTCAGGAGAGAAGACAGGCTGAATTCCTGTATTGTGCTTACCCTGTGGAAGTTGCTGCAGGGCAGAGCTCCTCGTATCTCCCTGGCCCTTCTCCAGCAGCCACACCAGAGCACAGCAATCAGTGGGGCTGTGGGGCTGTGGCATCTTTCTGCTGCCAGTGCCAGTTATCAGCCAACCACAGCCTGGGCCTAGAATTCCTGAGACAGAGGGGACATGTGTTCTGTCCTCCCTTGCCTCTGATTTTCCACCCCTTGTACCCCCAACCCCCATCCAGGGATTTGCATTTCCTTAGGAGCAGAATCTGGGCTTTTACAGCCTGGCTGTATCACATCCTGAGGGCCTGTCCTGGATTTGACAGGAGGGGCTGGAGTAAGGGGCAGAGGCAGCTATCCCCTGTGCTGTTCATCTCTCTGATGTGCTTTATAAATGGAAATGTGTAGTGGCCTCTTAATTGGGCCACCTTTGTAGGGCAGCCCCATGGGGGAGCAGCCAGCCCCGTCACCGGGTGACTGATGGTGACTGACAGGGGACAGCAGCACCAAAGACCCTCCCCAGAGCAGCTTGCAGCTGCCCTTGTTAGCAGAGACAGCCTTGCTCCCCGTGGGTTTACTTTGCTCTGCTGTGGATCACAGCTGCCCTGTTTCCAGGCAGGTTGATGATTTACAGGAAGCTATTGATTCAGGTAGCAAAGGTTGTTTAGACAAGCAAGGACGGCTGTTTGTGCCTCTCTCGTGCACTTTGCACCGTGTTTGCTGGTGCCTTGGTGTTGGCTGCACGGAGCTGGCTGAGCACAGGGAGCTGCAGCTCCAGCACAGGCTTCAGAGCATGGAGGGACTTGTGCTGACCCTGCAGCTTCCCTGCTCACCTCTGTGTGCACCTCCAGCCCCTGTGTGCCTGCAGCACAAGCCAGCCAGGCCCCACAAGCCCCAGGCAGTGCCTGTGGGTCTGCCCTGGTACCTACAGCACTTTCCTGTGGCCAGCCAAGGACAACGCCTTGGGATGACGTGGGTCACAGTTCCTCCTCGTGCTGGCCGTGGCTGTGAGACTGCATTCCAGGTTCATGATCCATATCAATCCCCAGGAGGCAGGCCCTGCCCACCTGAGAGGCACAGCAGGCAGGGGGGAAGAGGAGAAGAAAGAGACTGACCCTTTGCTGGGGTTGATAGATGGGTGTCACAGAGGGGCCAAAAGAGCTTTGGATTCAGTAGGTTGGGCTGTTGCTGCCCAGGCCATTGGGGTGTTCCCAGATGTGAACATCAGTAACTGCTGTCCTTGTCTTCCCAGCTGGGGTTGTGGTTGGTGTTTAGCAGTGGAGGGGGAGAAAAGCCACACACCCAGCAGTTTGACACTGAGCACATGCAGCGTGACCCCTCAGCTTCCTTCCTGTGGCCTCTCTGAGCCCAGCCCCAGGAGCTGGTCACCTCCCTGCCACAGGGATGAAGGGAAGCGACACTCCCCTGCCTTTCCTGCACCACTGTGGGGAGGGGGCCTCAGTGCACAGCCCTCCTCCCACGGCGAGGGGCAGGGGCTGCAGGAATGCCTCCTCCCAGGCAGCTCTTGGCCTGCACTGCGCCGTGCTGGGCCCTGCCCCTCGCAGCCAGTAGAGATGAGCTGACCCAGTTGTGTCAGCACGAGAGGGCTGGAGCTGCCATGGCAGTGGGGTGGCAGAGGGCTGTTCACCCGCTTGGGGGAATCATCGCTGAAATTAATCTGGATTAATTCATTTCCAGTGATGACTGGGTGGGCAGGAGTGTCAGGGCTGTCCCTTGCAGCAAGGGCAGAGGCTCCCTGCTGGGAACACATTCAGTACTGGTTCAATAGTTGTGGCATAAAGAATTGCAGAATCACGGAATAGTTCAGGTTGGAAGGGACCTTTAAGGGCCAACTAATCCAACGCCCAGCAGTGAGCAGGAATTCTTTATCTAGATCAGATTGCTTAGAGCCCCATTCAGCCTGACCTTGCAGGGACCTCTTCACCAAATGTTCATCTGTCTCAGAAAGACCAGTGGTAGGAGAGGTCTTTAACCTCCCCATGAGGGCCTTGGTACCTTCATGCACACCACCCAGCAGCCTGGAAAACCTGCAGAGCCTGAGATGCTCATCTTCCTTTAGGCTTTGGTCTTGGCTTTCAAGCAGTGGGCTGCTCTGGTGAGCAGGAAAAGCAGTGACCAACAGAAGAGCCAAATTCAGTGGTTCCCCCACACAAGTTTAATGACCTTGTCATGGCAGTCCAGTGTTTGCCACCCTGGAACAAATGCAAAACAATTGTGATGATTCAATTACAGCTCCTGTTTTGAATTGCAATTTCACTCCTTCTGTAGGTTAATTAGTAGCACAGCCCTGGGCTGTCTATGGCAAGGGTTTACAGCAAACTAAATTAAAATTCAGTTGCATGCCATTAATGAGGAGCAAGGTGCTTTTCCAGGCGTAGGCGTGCCTTCTTCCTCGCAGCACTCAGGTGCCATGCTGAGGGGCAGGACTAAATACTCGGTGGTTAGAAGCTGGTCTGTGGCTGGGAAACCCCTGGCCCGCATCCCTGAGCTGCTGCAGCCTTGCTGGGTGATGCTTTTTGCATCCCAAATGCTCCCTGTGCCTGTTCCTGGCTTGTATCATATCATCCCTGTCAGCTTGTGTTGAAGGTTGTGGTTGGGTTTGAGATGCTTTGCTAGCTGGTGCAAAGGTCTGCTCTGACCCCCTTCAGGGTGTCTGTGGAGAACATTTCTCAGCTGTAGGAGAAGAGCTGGAACCAGAGTCAGCCAGTTCAGTTCTCCAGCCTATGTGACCACTCTTGGGAGTCCCCCAGCTGACAGCCAGCAGGCCACAGAGCAGTTTTGGTGTCTGTAGGAGATGTTCAGTGGAGCGATCAGTTCATGGAAAGAGAGGGAGGGAGACAGACTGTGCTTTCCCTCCCTGCTCATCCCTTCTGGTGGGGTTTGCCCCAGGCTGGGGGCCACACAGGCTGCCACAGGCACTGCTCACAGCCTCTGCCTCCCTGCAGGTACATCGAGAGGAAGGCGTTCCTGGAGCGTGTGGATCACAGGCAGTTCGAAATCGAACGCGACATCAGACTGAGCAGGATGAAGCCCTGACGTGCTGGGGGTGGCCGTGGGGGATTTTGCTCCCTTCTGTGCCCCAGCCACCGACACCACCAAGCACAGAAACTGTTCTCTACCCAAGACTCAGCCTGTATGTCTCAACGTGCAGGGTTTTCCTTTTACTGTAATAGTTTGGGGAGGGTATTTGTCAGTGGACAGGAGGCGCTTTGAGGGTTAAATGGCCCAGCAGCTGATGGAAGACACTGGTGTAATTCTGGCAACAACTTTCCAAGGAGAAGAGGTGGTGGCACCCATCCTTTACCAATGCCAGGTGCTTCTGGCAGCAGGAGGAGCTGCCAAGGCTGGGAGAGTACTGGCATGTTTGGTGGTGAGAGTGGAGCTGCAGGAAGGTTTCATGGCTGCTGTGCATATTCAAGCTGTGGGCTGGAGCCCTCCTGCCTGCTCTGCCAGCCCCGCAGCACTCCCTGCCCCTCCGCCCTCTGCTCCTGTCCAGACAAAGCCAAACTGTCTGTACTTGTTTGTGGGGTCTGATGATGCTGGGGGGGGTTAAGCAGGCTGGGTGAAGAAATCCTTCCTTGTTCATGCTGTCAGGAAGATGGGAGCAGCTGCAGCAGGCAGAAGGGCCAGGATCTGAGTGTTCACGTGAATAAAGTATTCCATCCCAACACTTCTGCATGCTGGCAGTGTGGTTTGTGCGGGAAGCAGAGGACAGAGAAGTTAAGGATCACATACAGTAAAGAGTGTCTGATGGGAGTCAAAAACCTGTCTCAGAGGTGCCCAGTGTGTGCCCTGGTAGCAGCCTGGGGGTCACAGCAGGTGCTTGAATCACTTTCCCTCCTCATTACTGGGGCTGGTGGTGCGATGAAACCCAGAACTGGGGGTGACAAGGTTAATGTAGTCCTGTAGCAGTGCTGCAGGAGTAAGGAAACTCATCTAAAGCATGGCCACGCAGGGACATCCAGCAAGTGCAGCTGCCTGGGAGGGCAGGCCAAGGTGCCTGGGTGTGGAACGAGCAGCTGGAGCTGGAGACCAGCAATGCACCATCATCCCAGCCATCCCTGCAGGCCTGGCTCTGCTGGAGTCGGGCAGCTCCCGATGTCTGGCTGTGCACATCCTTGGAGTAGAGGTATTTACCAGCATTTCCCCACGGGATGCTCTGGGCCTGCCTGGTGGGGCAGCCTGTGCTGGTGCTGTGCTGGGGGAAAGCAGCACAGGCCCCATCCTTCCTGGCCACAGGGTGAGTGATGCTGTCACTGCCATGGCCCCTTGTCTGCAGCTCTGAGCACAGGCTAAGCCTTGGGCTCCTGTGCCCACTGCTGAGTCAGCCCCTGCTCCGTGGCCATGCTGCAGGAATGACCAGAACAAAACACCACGTGCTGAGGGGAGCTGCAGCCTTTGGCACTCTGTTCTGTACAGAATCAGCTGTAATGGACCTGCTTAAACAAGTCTGAAATTGGACAGAAACAAAACAACAGAGTGATGACATGTTTCCATCTCCAAACACTTCCAAGCCAGTTTCTGCTCTGGCTTAGGTTGCAAAAACAACCAGAGTCCCTATGCAGGGCACTGTTGTGGGGGTATCTCAGCTCAGAGCTCCTGAGTGGCAGTAAATGGCCCTGGCAGGACCTCAGTGTGGGCTGTGGAGCAAGGCAGGTGCTGCTGCAGTAGTTGGGCTGCTCTCCTGCTCGTATGGTAGTGCTGGACCATCTCCAGCCCCTTCTCTCCTTGTGTGCTGTCCTGCCTTCCTTACAGGGTCCCTCCCAACAGCGACCCCAAGGCAGCCCAGGCTTGTTTTGCTGCAGATCCCCAAAGATGCTGAGATGCTGAGGTAGCCACAAGCATGGCTGGGAGGGCTGGGCCTGCTGTGAGTGCTGAGCAGGCAGCCAGGGAAATGATTTGCCTATTGCTCTGCTGTTGCTGAGAGGAGAAGGGGAAATATTTGGGAACACCTCCGCCCTGTGTCCCCCATGACTGTGATGCTGGATAGAGGCAGGAAAGGGTCATGTCACCCCTGCACGGGCTGGGACCCTGTGGCATCTGGCTTCTGGGGCTGCCTACCAAAACCTTTGCTGCAGCATGAGTATCTCTGCTGCATTCTAGGGCACTTTCTTCTCCAGCAGCTGGGCAGCACCAGGTAGGTAAGAAATGGAAAATAATTCTGTGCATTGTGTCATGAGCAAGAGCAGAATGGAGATGCAACAAGTACCCTTGGAGATCCCAATGGCCAGAGGCACCAAACCCAGCCTTGTTTTTAAAAAGCATTAAAGAGCTCCAGGCTGCATCTGGCTCTGGATGGCTTGGGGGTGGCTTTGGATTCACATGCATGCTAATGGTGTGTTAGAGGGATGTGGCCAGCACAACCTCCCCTGGTATGCTGGTGAACTGGGAAAATTGATGACCTGCAATTTATGGGATCCTGCCTGCCAGTCCCAGCTACGCTCTTCAGAAACCCTCCAGAGTTTTTTCTTCTTTTCAGATGAGCAAATGTGGAAAAGCTTGAAATCTTGGAAGCAACCTGACCTGCTGGAAAAGGGCAATGTAATGGCAGTGGCCAAGAGCCTCGACTCCCCTCCCCTCTCTGCTGGGCTCCCCAGCTCGTGGCATGGTGTGCCCAGCTCAGGATGAGGATGCTGGGCTGCAGTGCCAGCTCCTGGCCCAGCAAGCTGGGGCAGGCTTGGCGGGATGGCTGGAGGCAGCCTCCAGCCCGGGCTGATTCCTGTCTTCCCCCACGCTCCCAAGCGTCCCGCGTGTTTGCTGCGTTGGATCATGTATTCCTCGCCTCTTTCCTGAAGACGAGGAGTGATTTACAGGTCTCCAGAAAACACAGCTTGGCTGCTTTGGAAGGAAAAAAGAAAACAACCAAAACCCTTCTCGGCTTGCTATTTCCATTGCCCAGTCGCCTTCCCACGAAGGGGGGTGGCCCCAGGACCCGCCAGCCCTTGATGTCCCCACCAGCCCTTGATGTCCCCAGCAGCCCTTGATGTCCCCAGCATCCCTGCACTTTCTGTGAGGAGCAATGTTCTCAGATGTGGGTCCATCTTTTGAGACATTCCCACCTTGAGCTCTCTTCTCTGGGAAGCTCACGTGTTCTCCATGGGTTAGGACCCACCCTGTGCATTTGCTTGGGGTAATTTGGCCCTATAAGGAGTCCCTCATGGCCACAGCATCACCTCACTCTGAGGAGCTCCCCCTTCCCTGGCTGCCTGAAGGGGCCCCTTGTGCAGCTGAGCCCCAAACAAGGCTCCAATTGTGTCTGTGTGTCCTGATGGTCGGGGCTTCTGCCGCGGCATCCGTGTGCTGGGGCCATGGTAAAACCAGCTGTGTCCAACCCACACCCACAGGCTCAGCCTCACTGATCTGCTGGGGTTTGGGGGGGCTGTTATGGGGCCATGGGAATCATGACAGGGAGGTAACACTGTGCATTTAAAGCTCCTTCAGTGGAAGGGATGCAGGAATAAATGTTGGCTCTCGACATGGGAGGAGGTTGAGTGCTGGCTGGCTGGGGGTGCATCCCATAGCCCCAGGCCATCCCAAGGACCACAGTGGGATTCATGGACAGAGCTGCCATCAGGCAAAGCGTGCCAGCTGGGAGAAGGAGGGACCAGAGCGTGGAGCTGACCTTAGGAGCATCTCCCTGCAGCCAGGGCAGCAGTTCCCTGAGGGGCAGAGCTGGTACCTGGAAGGTGGTGCTGGCAGCATCTCATCCTTTTTTCCAATTTGTTGTTTTCAGCCTCTTCCCACCTCTCCTTCAGAGCAATGTCCCACCCAGCAGCACAGTGGGATTCTGCAGTGTGTTCAAAAGTAATGGGGAGTAATGGAGTGGCCTGGAGGTCTCCCACCCCATTTGAGGGTCTCCACCCCAGGGCATCCTTGTGCTGGGGGTGGGTGCTGGCACTGGCATTGAAACTCAGCTGATGGGATGGCACAGCCAGCCCTTCCTGCTGTCAGCCCTTCCTGCTCCCAGCAGCGAGCCCCAGCTGGGGGCGAGGATCAGCGCCAGCCCTCACCAGGGATGAATGGGGAGACAAACAGAGCTGCTACTGTTGGGGCAGCCCGAGGCCTGCAGCCTGCCTTGGCTTTGCTGGAGATGAGGGGGTGCCCTGCAATCCTGTTCTTTGGAAAGGCAGGCAGCCTCCCCCAGCATCTTCTCTGCACAGCTAAGAACCAGCCCAGTGCCACAGAGAAGCACAGGGATAAATCCTGGTTGTGATCCTGTTGGGTCCCGTGATATTACAAGCCAAGAGAAATGTCCTCATTATTTCCAGAATATTGAAGTCTAATAAATCCTGTCCTGCCTTATAGGATTTATTTCTTCATTCATTGCTAGGAGACTCAGTGCTGTGTAATCCTATTGCTGCTCCAGGAGGTGGGGAGTGGCTTTCCAAAGCACAGACCTGGCAGGGCTGTGAGCAGGAAGCCCCAGCTGAAACTGCTGGTCCCAGCAAACATCCCAGTGCCAGCCCATTTCCTGGGATGTCCCACTGTCCCAGAGCTGTGCCCTGTGTTTGATTCACCAAAATGGATCTCATCCAATGTTGGGATGATTGCTGCATGGCTCAGCACAGCCCCTGCCCATTGTACATTTGCAATGCTCCCCCAAATCTCACTTTGGAGTCCTCCTACACCTTCTCACACCACATCCAGCAGGAAAAGCTGCAAAAAGCCAGGAATAGCTGGGCCCAGCACAGCCAGTGCCCTGCCCGTGCAGAGCCAGCCGTGCCTGGCTCACCACACACCAGGGACTCCCGAAGACAATGATGGACACATGAATATGGCTGGAAAATTTGCCACTGAAGTGTTTTCCATAGCAACTGTTGCTGGGGCAACCTGCATCCCAAGGAGCATCCATCCCAGCCCTGTGTCCAGTGGAGCTCCAGGGAATCAGGGTGTGGGACTGCTGGGACCCCCAGCAGCACAGGGATGCTGTGGCAGCCAGTCCAGCTCTGAGCATCCCCCGTGCTGCAGGGTCCCTGGAATGCTCCACTTTTCATCTTCTTCTTGGCATTTCATTTTCTCAGAGGCAGGAGCAGCCTAAGGAAGGCCTGCTGGTGCCTGTCGTCCCATGGGTGCTGGGCTGTGGAAGCAGGGATGTGCAGGAGCTGTTGGGGTGCTCAGCAGAGGCAAGCAGTGATTTTTGGCTCTGATGGACCAAAAATGGGATTGAGTTTGACAGTGTACGCTTTGATCTGAGCATCAACAACACAGCGAGAGGGAAAAGTGATATTCCCACAGCTTTGAATCCAAAAGCAGGAGGCTTATGGCCCCTCAGCACCTGCCTGAAGTCATACAGGGTCAGCTTCACCCTGGGGACACCTCAGGGGTCCCAGGCCACCCTCACTGCTGGGCCCACACCAGACTCGGGGTGTCAAGGGTGTCCAAGCCTGGCCTCACGGGATCAGCTGCAGAGCGGCAGAGAGGAGAGGCTGGGGGGCCTGGAGCCCATCCCAAGGATGCCCGGGGTGCTCAGTGCCTGCGCTGTCACCGCTGTCACCAAGAGGAAACCGCAGCCCTCAGGCTGGGCCCGCCGCGGTTTGCGGGCGCGACCGCAGCCCTGCCTCCGGATGTCTCCAGCCACAGCCGTGCCTCAGTTTCCCTTTCCGCAGTGACACACGGGGACACTCGCCTCCAAGCTGGGGACACTGGTGGTGGCTCACACGCTGCTTTTTT